GGAGAAATCTGTTCTTCAGTCTAAGACATGAACAGAGCCGTCACCGACGGCTGAGCATAAATAAATTTTTAGCGGAATTGGTCGCATAAGTGCAGCGCATTTTCAGTGAGGGAGCAGGGATTTGATTCCTGATTACAGGGATCAAAACATATTGTTGCATCTAGTCGTCGTTTTTGGTAATTGAACATTAACGATATCGCTGTTTCAGCCAGTTTTAATCGTAACCTATTCCATTTAAGCCTGCAGTTTACTTGGAAAATTTATGATCAAAGAGCACATTGATGTCCACATTATGATCAAATCAGATGTGCATTTTCGAGAACAGAGACCAACCAACAATAAAGTTGGAGAGGGTTATGAAGAAATGAAACACGTTTAGCACGTTGGGATTTACAATTAATATGTGTGCTGATCTGGAACTTACGGACTTCAAACATCTGATGATGAATTGCCAACCATAGGAAAGCCACAAATGGAAGTTATAAAATTTCAGTAAGAATCCCATGAGATTGAGAACCTAAGCCCCTTTCGTTCGAAACAAAATACACAGAAGCTGACCTTTGAAGAAAAAATGGCCCTGATCAAATTTCTGACTCTCATGGGATCTACATTCAAGCGTAAATTTGATGTTCCGAAACGATGATAGATGCCAAGTGCACTTTTCATGAGCACCTTTAAGAGAGTAATGTACAGCTTAAGCTTGAAGATGTGTACTGTTTTAACCCGTTATCGATCATAGTCTTTCAGAAGATGGAACATGTCATTCACACACTCTGTCAATGATTGCCAGCTTCACTTTTCACAGAGAATTTTTATGATCAGTTCTGGTGCCGTCAATATAAATTTCCGCAGGCCGCATCAGCTGCCAATGAGAAGTCTGCCGCCTTCCGGACAGATAATAATTAAGATGTTGGTACTTGCATGGATCTGGGTTGTACCATTCACTGGTTATTGGACGGTTCTCAATACGTAGCATGTGCAGACTTGCGGATCATCATTAGTGAGCATGTGACCTTGTTGCTGTACTACTTTTAAGCAATAATCAAACAGGAGGAGAAAACTGCAGATGACTTGTTTTACTTCCGAAAGTTTGTCATGTGATGTGTTTACTATGTGCTCAAGATGGCACGTAGGAAACTCCTAGAAATGTAGAACCATGGGAATATGTAGCCCCCATGACTTAGACTAATAATTTTCATTCTACTCAGTCACATGGAAAACTACTTAAGAAGTAAATTAGAGAAAATTAGTTGATGGGAGCCCATGGAAAGTAATACTTCACCTATGTTTAAATATCAACCAACTGTAATTTCTAACGTAGACAGCTGGTAACGAGGAAAGAGCGGGGCGAGTGTCGTTGCAAAATTTATTGAACTTGTTACGAATCATTTCAAAATAGACTGACAAGGTATTTTCGTACCAATGGATATTTTGGAGAGATCACCAATTTTGGCAAAAAATGCATTGATTGATAATGTGCTCATATATATATATATATATATTTGCAAGTGACTGATATAGTCTGAGAGTAGACTCGGTTGATTGTGAAGGCGAGCTTTCTGCGAATGTCATCGATCTCTCCGTGAGACGATTGAAGGCACTAAGCCCAAGAAAACAGGAATTTAATGGTTTGATCATAATTTCCACTTATGAGGTGCATTGAGTGAGTTGTTCCAAATTGTAAAATCTAAAAAAAGTGAGAAGAATGAAGTGAAGTGGAGACAAATGCCTGATTCCTCCGCACCTCTGAGGTCCATCGTCATAGAGCTCAAGAGGATTCGGCTGTATAAGGTTCCAGCGCTGTCGTAACGTAACGTATTGCCATTACGTTACGCTACACTTGCTCGTCTGAAAAAGTATATACAATACTGGTACATTATCAAAGCGTAGTATTGTCAATATCATTTCGTCTACATGATGATTGTTGTTATTACGTTGGCAAAACTTGTAATCAAGTTGTAACTTGGAACCCGTCACTCCCTCACGCTATAGCCGAAAGCATATACTTACAAGAATTTTATTCAAAACTTGGTGTGCCGTATGTAGGTTTCATAACTTAAAATCATAAATGATGGGTCCCAATAAGTTAATTATGTTACGCAGTGTTGTCATCAAATATTTGTTTCCGTAAATTCTGAATCCTTTGCCACTTCGCACACTCTCTCATTAAGGTCTCGTGTCCCGTCAGATTATAACGTACCAGCTCCAATTCTTGAAAAGGAAAATGATCACCGAACAATAAATGATTCTTCTGTTGAATTTTTTTTTTTGACCTATGTACGGCAAAGTAAACATAATTCACTAACCAGAACCAAGCCAAGAATTTAAAAGTAATACATTTTTACATTGAAGTCAAAAAATGTAATTTCAACAATTTTATATATATATAAAAATAAATATTTTTCGGATTCTAGATGTCAAGATATAGAAGATAACGTGATAGGTGCATAATCCACTAGAATTAAATGCTGATCTTTAATATCCACCTAGTTTTTGCATATTTTCAGATATGACAAACGACGCCAATTTTGCAATGTAATGCGACCTAGACAACAATAGCTTCCATTGGATCACCACTGTTCGGTCAATTATACAGTTTTGTACGTAAATTACTGCAGCTTTGTCCTGGATATTCAAAGGTGTGAATAAGCTCGGGTTTAAGATTTCAAGAAAATTTTAAGAAAATTTCAAGCTTCCTTGTATTGGCAAACAGTGGCGAGTGTCATGCATAGATTGCATCAAAGCTTGCTAAGGATACTTTAGCCTTGTAGAAGAAAAGCGAGAGATTCGTGAGCAATTGCCACCTTGTGCAACAGATTTTAGCTTTCAAATAATTCCAGATTTTTAGACAAATGTTTTCAAGATAAAGATGATGAGATAACCATATGCTACCATGATACTTTGCCTTCGATTTCTCCAAATCAAAAGACAGAATACAATAGAACCGCTGAAGATGGAAAGAAAACTTGGACAAACATTAGTAGAGGCAAAGACCTCGTGTCTTGATGTGCATGACGATGTGCTTTGCGTTTTGAGTTCAACAACCTAAATTGACTCGTATGAATTATTGCTCAAGGGGTTCAAATTTTGGGCTCTTTCTCCCTAACTATGATCCAGTATCAATGATTAATTTTACAACTTAAACGCATCCCACATGTATATATGGAAGTAGTTGGTCGACGTGAACTATACTTAATGATCAACCCAATCCCAATATATTTCAAGAAAATAACTTCGACTCAAAGTCTGCAGGTTTTTTTTGTTTCTCAAATGATAGTGAAGAATGTATTAGCATGATAAAATTATTTTTTGCTCCAGTGCAGAACACACGGATTCGATATTCTTCTGAGTGCTGTATGATACTGGTGGCAGATTTCGAATTCGTGATAGTCAGGTTATAATATTGGTTTGAAGAATCATAAAATATGGGTTGAATCCTTGCCCTCGTTGGAATTGAATTTAAGCTTCCGGAGCTATCTTTACACTTTCAATCGAATCTACCGACTACTAGAACACGATATGTGGTGGGGAGATACACCTGGATCATGAATTTATGAAATCGAGTTGAGTCTGGACCATTATTACAATGGAGAGATTTATGAATGAGACCATCAGTACCACAAAGTAATTTGGTACTATGCTAAACATGAATTACACCGCCGTGAAACATTGTTACTGCGCTCAAATGAAGCTTCCGCATGGTTCGTACTTTGCACGTCAAGATGACTGCGTCTGCTAATCATGAAATCAGAATGTTAGGGAATTTTATTACTCAAGCTGGTATCTTAACTTTTTGGGATCTCCAAAGTCAACTGCATTCTTTCTTTCATGATCAATAACCAGTATTACTGCGATAAATGCGATGAAATTGTTCTTCATTAGGTCGTACTTGCACGTCGAAACAACTGAGCGCTTCCAGAAAATTTCGGAGGTTTGTGTTGTCAACTGAGTCTCTGAGTTATTCGAGCTGAGTCAAGGTTTGGGACCACCGCTATATAGTGCAGGTACTTCATGCACGACAAGACGACAAGCGTTCTCAGCGTTCAAGCTTTTTGGAGAGTACAAGCGTTCTGCTCTATCCAGTAGCGTTTAAGAGTCGTGGGGTTGTGATACTGTAAATGCTGAATCAATCTATACTGATCGATAGCTGATCAGTCGGGTGAGATATCGAAATGCTCTCATAAGAAGATAAGCAGCGCAAACGGCTGAATCAATCTATACTGATCGATAGCTGATCAGTCGGGTGAGATATCGAAATGCTCTCATAAGAAGATAAGCAGCGCAAACGGCTTCATCGGTCGATTGAGAGGTTCTCATATAGCTGGTACGTAAAGAGGTGGACTAATTGTTACGCGAATAGCAGCGCAGCGTCGGTCGATGCAAATTGCGAACCTTTCTTCTAGCGCGTTTATAATCTGGCTCGAGTGTGAGTCTGCTCGTAATATATGACGCTTGGTAGGATCATCTCTCTCGCTTCAGATTCAAGAGAGCAAGTTTCTGCTCTTGTTCTGGCATAATGTGGATCATGAGGCTCTGGGCTTCATGGAAATATACGCAGTGGAGTGTGTGAATCATGCGCCACATCTCTCAACAGAAACTAGAGCTGCTGAAAGCGGTGTTAATTTGTGTACTGGAATGAGGATTGCTTAACTCTTTTACTCTAATTACGGTGCGCAGCTTAGTCAACGGACTAGATGTCGAAGAGGATTATTTCTCATGTTTGGGGCCTAACTTTAGCCGAATCCTCGTCTGTTCTTGGCTATGCTTTTCCTTTCTTGATTTGTTATATCGCTATTACTCTGGTCTGCAGAGGTTTTCCCAGAAATTATATGGAGCCAGGTTGACGTCGAGTCTATGATGAAAGCACATCAGAGTTATTAATTTCTTGAGCTTTAGGGGTAGAAAATTCGTGCTTGACTTTTTTGAGGTGCACTGCCTAATATTAATTGTCTATTTTTCGGCACAGCTGAGAGGATTCGGACTCTGTTGTTGTCGTCAAAATGGGGGCAACTTCGAGAATTCTAGTGAGGATGAAATTTCTAAATGAATACAAGGTGACGGAAGCAATGAGGCAAGACGAGCAGCGCTTCTCGTACATGGCCGATTTCGAGAAGCTTTTTTTTGAAAGCTTTCCGAAGTCGAAGGAACGGTGTCAGAACCTACAATTGCCCTCCTCCCAGCTGGAGTTGCAGTACGAGGATGAGGACGGTGAGAGACTTTCCATCAACAACGACGGAGACTTGAAAGATGCTATCGACTGGGACAGAGGCACAAGTTTCAAGTTCCGCATAACATACAAGAATCCAGAAGTTGATGGACCGCTGCCAACACTTCCTGGTGGTATCAGCAGTCCATCAACTTCTTCCCGCCAAGAGACGCCAGTGAACGTCAGAAATAAAGTGGGTTTTTCCATGCTTTGATTGATTAGCCAGAAATCGTCTCACTTTTGCTTGAAATTTTCTGAGTGAGCACAATTATAATGACAGTCGCGATTTCCATTCTGCAGGGAGCGGAATATCTCGCCATTCCAGTCCTTCCAAGTCAAGAGGAGCTATTGCAGTCTGGCCTGCCCAGCCATTTACCGGTGAACCAGGTGGGCATGAAGTATTCGAATGTGAGTGACTACCTGGGAACTCACTTCCGTCTTCTTAGAGAAGATTACATCCATTCCCTGAGACAGGGAATCCAGTCCTTCAGAAAGCAGCTGATGTCAAGAGAGGTCTGGGTATACCATGAAGCAAGATTCGTGACATATGATTGCGGTTGGGACGGCGTGGATTGTGTCATGTCGTTCCCGTTCAGGAGAAAAGCAGTTGGGTCAGAGTCAGACGAGTTAAAGTATGGTGCTCTTCTGTGCATCTCTGCAGACGGATTTCAAAAGTCCTACCACTTCGGAGTTGTCAGAAAATGCTCTCGCAAGATCAAGGGAGCGAGCAAGGTTTGGGTCCGAGCTCTGGGCACGTGGAGCGAACGTTTTGATTTCGATTCGAAAAAAACCTATGTCATGGTAGAATCGACAACAGCTTTCTTCGAAGCGTATCATCATGTCCTGAAGGCGTTGCAGAGAGAAGAAATGAAAACTGTTCCATTTTTGAAGTACCTCGTTCACTTGGAGCGACATATTGATCCTCCTTCATACCTGCTAGGAAGTCCGGACATGGACAGGTTTGACTTCCAATCAGTCTTCCCTGAATTGACGACCCATTTCGGCACGAGTATAATCCACACTCTGCAAAAATGGCCGCAGTTGTGTACCAGGCTGGATGCGGCGCAGTGGCAGGCTCTGGAGCATGGCTTGACGAAGGAGTTGTCAATTATCCAGGGCCCTCCAGGCACTGGTAAGACTTTCATTGGACTTCTGATCGTGAGGCTCATGCTGGCCAATCTGCCGCTGAGGGGTTCCGCAGGGACTGAGAACGGGGCTAGGAGGGAGGGGCCGATTCTTGTGATCTGCAAGACGAATCACGCTCTGGATCAGTTTCTTGAGGGCATCAAAAAGTTCGAGAATGAATTGATACGAATTGGTGGAAGGTCAAAGTCCGAAGTATTGAAATTCCAGAATCTGAAATATTTACTTAGAAAGCGACAGGTGCGCCGTAACATCGATCCAATTCTTCGCCGTACTCGTTCAGCTTTTAATATGGAGAAAGCTGTAATAAAGTATAAAATCAATGACACCAAACGTGCTCTGAACCATCTTAGGAATTCGAAATATGTGGGGAAAGAGCAACTCCAAGGAATCGCTCTTGAGCAACAAGTGAAGTCTCTTTTTCCACGTGGCTATGATCATAAGAAATCTGTTCAAGATTGGCTAGAAGGAGCTTTCTGTCCTCTGAACCGTTCGGAACGTCGTAATGTACCTGTAGACGATACTCGTCGAGAACATCGTGACAGATTCAGATCACAGATTTCTCCAGAGAAGGGGGAAGAGTTGGTTTTAGAAGCTGAAGACAAGGATCGGACTCCATATCCACGTCAAGTGAAGAGCACGCGGTCTAGTCGCAGCAAAATCGTGATGCAGGAATCTGCACTCACTGTCCTTACACGAAATATGGCCAACATGAATTTGGCAGCAGAAAGAGCGGTTCATCCAGAAGACGATGTTGTGGAAGGCAAAGGCGATGATCATGTGAGCTGCAATGTCGAATGTGCAGCGGGCCTTCCTTCAGACGTCCATGTTGATAATGACTCGGACGACGCTCGGGATGAGCTGCGAGGTGACCTACAAGAGGGCGCCCACGACAATGAGCCCCAGCTGGCGGATTTTAAGGACATCCACAATGTGTGGGTGTTGCCTGTGCAGCAACGAAGAGTTCTGCACGATCACTGGATCGAATCGACGAATCTGAAGATCCAAAAGCAGATCCAGGGACTAGCACAGCACTATGAGGGAGTTTGCGAGAAGCTCTGCGAACTGAAAATGGAAATCAAGCTCAGCATTCTCCGAAAAGCTAACGTCGTGGGCTTCACCACCACTGGTGCAGCAAGGGATCGTGATTTGCTGAAGTCTCTGAATTCAGAGATTGTTATTGTAGAAGAAGCAGCAGAAGTATTCGAGGCTGGAGTTCTGGCGTGCGTGACTTCTGCGGTGAAGCATCTCGTGTTGATCGGTGATCATATGCAGCTACGTCCTTCGACTGCAGTCTACAAACTTTCGACGGAGAACCGCCTGGACCTTTCCATGTTCGAGCGTCTAGTGCGAGGTGGAGTTGAACACGTGACGCTGCGAGAGCAAAGGAGAATGAGACCATCATTTTCGAAGCTCGTGAAGAGTTTATATCCAACGCTCAAAGATCACGAGTCTGTCTCGCAGTACGAGCATGTCAGGGGGCTGGGCTCAGATCTTTGGTTCTTCGATCACACAGCCAAGGAACAGGAGCAGACGCTTACCTCTTCCAGGGTGAACGCAACGGAGGCAAGGCTGGTTGTCGAACTGACTATCTATCTAATGAAACAGGAATGCTACAGCGCCTCGGAGATCACCATTTTGAGTATGTACGCAGCTCAAATTTCGGAGATCGACAAGCTCCTGAAAGAGAGGGTGGCCAAAAGGTTCTCTGTAAAGAAGAAGTCTAGGCCCAGAGGGAAGATGAAAGAACAGGAGGACGGAAAGGCGGATCGTATACGCTCGACAGATGGAGACGTTCTGATTCCTCAAGTCAGAAGCGTCGACGGATTCCAGGGAGAAGAGAGCGACATAATTATCTTATCTCTGGTGAGAAGCAACAACGTCCGATCGGCAGAGGGAGAGGGAACCATCGGGTTCCTAAGGACGTCCAATCGAGTCTGCGTAGCGCTCACGAGGGCCCGAAAGGGATTGTACATATTTGGCAACGCTGCGCTTCTCGCCGCAAGGAGCACCTTGTGGAGAGAGATGATCGACGGCATGCGTGCGGATGGCGTGCTGGGCTCCGAGCTGGAGCTCGTATGCCAAAACCACCCGGACACGAAGACAGTCGTCGCCAAAAAGGCGGACTTCAAGCAGGTTCGCGACGGAGGCTGCTCGAGACCCTGCGCGACGCTGCTCGACTGCGCGCACCCGTGCCCGAGGCTTTGCCATCCCGGCTCCCACGAGCACGTGATCTGTCCGAGGCCGTGCCCGATCGCCCGCGAGGCCTGCGACCACGACTGCGCGCTCCGATGCCACCACGGCGACCCGTGCCCTCCCTGCCCGGTCACGGTCGTAAAGACCCTTCCGACCTGCGGCCACTCTCAACTAATGCCGTGCCACCGAGACCCAACGGTCGAGATCTGCCGGACGCCTTGCGCGAAGGTCTTGACGTGCGGCCACCAATGCGATTGCGGCAGTCCGTGCACCGTCGACTGCGCCGTTCCGGTCGAGAGGACCCTTCCTACCTGCGGCCACTCTCAACGAATGCCGTGCCACCGAAACCCAACGGTCGAGATCTGCCGGACGCCTTGCGCGAAGGTCTTGACGTGCGGCCACAAATGCGACCTTGAGTGCGGCAGTCCGTGCACCGTCGACTGCGCCGTTCCCGTCGAGAGGACCCTTCCTACCTGCGGCCACTCTCAACGAATGCCGTGCCACCGAGACCCAACGGTCGAGATCTGCCGAAGGGAGTGCTCAAAGGTCTTGAGTCAAGACCGTCAAGACTCTTGACGGCCTTACAGATTGCGACCTCGATTGCATACCGTGCACAGTCGACTGCGTCGTTCCCGTTGTGAGGACTCTGGACTGCGGACATGAGAACGTGATGCCATGCAGCGCCGATGCGGGATCGTACGGCTGCACGTGGCAGTGTGGAGCCGGACTGCCGGATTGCCAGCATCGGTGCCGAGGGACGTGCGGACGACATCGACGAGTGCCGTCGGCGTCTGCCGTGTGGCCATGCCTGTGAGCGTGATGCTCCGTCCCCTGCCCTCCGTGTCCAGAGAAATGTCGAAACGCTCACAAGAAAGTCGAGGACGTGAAGAAGGAAATGTTTGTCTAGGAAAGGGTGAGGGTGGGACGAAAGGAAACTTGAACGAACGGACTTTGTTGGACCTCTTCACAAATTCCAGACAGCCTTGACCGAGAATCCAACGATGATGGATGCCCACTTTGGAGTAGGATTGGCATAATGTTTTGTTACTAAAATACCACAGTTCAAGCGAACTCTTAATTTTCCTGGTGAATAGTGTATATAAACTTATGCAATATATTATCTTTGTTTTTTAAAGTATAATAAACTCATATCGTTATTAAAAGTCAATTTTCAATTAAAAGTCAACAAAATATACTATGAGGCTATATTTGACAATAATAATCATATTATTATGAGAATGATAAGAATATCTTTATCACTTAATAGTTGAAGAGTTAAGAATGTCAACAACACGATGTCACATGATTATTTTTCGTAGGAAAATTTGTGGATGTATGACATAGCATATGTTATCAAAATCTCATGCATTGTTGTATTCAATTCCGAAATAATGCAATATAAATACAACCTAAAATTTTCAAGTAAAATCCTGGCATTAAATTTTTCTGCTCTAATGAATAGGTTAAGGTTGTGACTAATATTTCAATTGAAATTCTTCTTTGAAACTTCAAAATCCCCTATATTGATCATTTGTATATGTTTTCTTGCATGCACTTCATGGCAAAAGATTTTTGAAGGATAACTGAGTTGTTGAAAAGTTGGGTTTGTGGAAAGTTAGCATGATTTTTTGTTTACAGTAGGGAAAATGTGCTCCAATGAAGAAACATAGGTTAGAATTCAAAGACATTGTATAAGATTAGTGTGCGCGGAACACACAGGTTGAGTGTTACTTCCTGACACCAGATTATTCAAATACGAACTGTGTGATTTAGTCTTTAGAAGCAAGTACAATAAAATCACAGTTGCACCTTATCTTTGTTCATGTAAAATGATTTTTTTTCTAAACACCATAATATGGATCTTTTTTTATTTTAAACGTTCGAAGGCATGATTGTATGAAAGTATTTGACCGTCGCGCTAAGGACAGAATGACCGTCGCGCTAAGGACAAAAGCTATGGATATATATATATATATATCCATATGAATATAAAAGATTCTATACTATATGTCTATTGATTTACAATATATTTCCAAGTCCTAGATACAGCTTTGACATACTGAGCATGACAATACTATAATTGCCCATTCTTCATTGAAATCTTTGAAGGTCTTTTCATCATGTATTTGATTCTTGAAAATGTGCAATCCTGCTCGAAATGACTTCATTTATCTGGATTTTGCTAGATTGAAAGTTAAATTACATACATAAATTTGCTTTCGCCAAAGATTATAGGATTCATGATCTAAGACCCGTTGTATGTTTTGCATCCTGACTTGATCTCGCAAATCTACCCAAAGATCTGACTGGAAAGAAATAAAATAGAAGATTATCCAACGGTAAAGTATGTCTTTCATTAAAAACAATTTCACGCACAAGTGATTTTAAATATACGTCATGCACTAAATCATAACTGATTCTGTATATGTGATAGACCATTTTCCTTCATCTATAGATTCAAAACACCCACAAAAACTCAATCTAAAACACATAACTCATCCACTTCTATGTTCGATATAACAAATATGTGTAAAATCTTTCCAAGCTATAATCAAATTGAGCTCCCTCCCTCTCTAGCGTAAAATCAAGATTTGAAAGAATCTTCATTGTCAAGACATATATAGCTCAATGATCTTGGTGTATCCACGATTTGTAACGCCAATCTTCCAGTGATATTTTAAACAATTCCATTGTAAAGTTAGTGTGCAATCTCAACGATATAATCAGAACTTGTCACCAACCAAAACTAGATTTGGTCACAAAAAAGATTTTGAAGTTTGTTCCAAATTGATCCAATCTTGTCGAAGGCTCAAATGATCTTGTGTGTTCGTGCGCTTGACTACTCTGATAAATTACATGAATTGCATGACATCCGACTATCAGCACTAAATTTTGCACATTATCGTTTCTGTGTGAAACAAATCTACTTTGTCAAGAAAAGAGTGAGTTGTAAGGAGTGAACCCCCTGTTCAAAATAAAGAGGGAAAACATGGATGTAAAGAGGTGGATTCCTTCACATGCGGTGCATCCAATCGGCACAGCTCTCTGGAACGGTTGAGGTATTAAACTGATCCTTCCTCTTCTCTGATAGTGATGAAGACAAGAGACGTGATTGCTCCTGTGAGACGTCAAGAAGGATTTGGGGCGTTAGGGGAACTACTTCTCTCCCAAGGACGACTGTGAAACATATTCCAGTTTTAGAGAGCTTAGAGAGATCAGACTCGAAGTTATCAGATGACTTCCTTCCCGGCAGCGCGTAAGCAATCTGTGCATCGAGAGGTGGTTCTGTAATTGCACGATTCAAATGCGAATTCCAGATAAAATGGTAGAAATGCGTCAAGGCGAGTGATGTCCTGTTTGCTCAAGCGAGAAGGCGATACCTCGGTCCGGACTGAACAATCAGTGGCCAGAACCTCGACATTGAATGCTTTTCAGCACGTTGTCTTTACGCAAGCACAAGGCTCGAAGCATAGCGGCAAACTCCGTCACTGCGGAGAAACGTTATTGCGCCGATGTCAAGGTGGCGGAGACGGAGGGCAGGCCTTACTAGCCGAGAGTCGCCATCGAAACGATCTCAATAAGTGAGCTAGCACCGCCCACAGCTCGGCATTTCGTTGACAACTCTACTTCAGGACTTGCGACAGTCCCTCCGATGCCGGTGAAGATAGTCCTCTGCTTGTCATTGGGGTGAAAATGTGTTGCTGATGCTCGACATGCTTTCACTGCCACCATAAACCTTCTATAACGTAGATATGAAGACCGGGCCTTCCGTCCATTTTGCTATTTGGAGAGACCGTTCTAGATGTAGTAAAAAGCATGAAGAAGAAAAAAGGCCCAAAAATACTTTCATGGCCCTGTGACATTAGGCGCATTGCAGTTACCACTAGGTAATTGCAATGTAGTTTAAGTACATACTAATCTAAAATCTTTTAGCACTTTTGAGAACTACATAGAAAAGTGGTTTTGAGCCTGAAACGAATTTGAACTTAAGAGGTTTTTTTATCCATAGAAAAGTCTAAATACATGTATACTAAAGGGATTCGATTTAAGTGCCATATATGAAGAAAATAACGTCCAGTTTTTCAAGTATAACAGCTGCGATCAAAATAATACAACATACAATACATCAAGACAAGACGTATGACGTTCCACGTCTGGACTGAACAGTAGGCATGACTATCCGCGCTGACAGCCGCTGATACAAGTTCTGATGCATGATGCTTCTATTAGTGCTTCAGCACTGTGATCCACTGTTGTGTGTATTGTGCTTGACGTGTTCTTCTACTTGGAAGGCAACAACGATTCACTTTGACTGAGAAGATTATGTCTAGTGTGGGTACACACCAAGCATCCAGAGGTCTGAATACGCATAATTGACCTCATGTTTGTCTTCGCGCCATTTGGAGAAATAAACCTTCCCATACCTCCAGATGGCAGAGACGAAGCCGCAGTGAAAATTATCTATGAGCAAGGCCGATTCTGATTTCACTTGTTCCCTCACTTTTTTGCACGTATCGTTTCATCTTTATTTCCTGCATAACTCATTCCTTTTTAACTTCTTCCTCGTTTCCTTAAAAGTACGATATTGAGAATTCCAGTAGCACTCATGATTTATGATTTTAGTTGTAGGGTATAACGAAGAAGATAGTTATAACCTGCGTACTGGCTGGAGCCTAACTTAGGCGAGGCCTAATAACATTCAATTAGGCTGAAACGATGAATTTCATGCTGAACATAGCGCTCTTTACATGGCGAAGTCTCATCCCCCAAAGTTCCATGCACTTACGTCAGATCATTGTTTGCATTGAACGAGTTGAACATTTATGGCTAGAATATAATGCATAAATATATATATTACCGTAATCTCCCGCCAACAGACAATAAATAAGATTTTTTGATACGATTCGCAAAACAAGACGCGTCCGGTGATCCATGAAATATGCTTCACATGTAGTTTTATCTTCAATGTACTCCATTGGCTGTACAATGATATGCATGTCCCCCCTAACAAAGGATCATCTGGAAATGATTGGGATATCAAGATTCCTATGTTAGAACTGAAGTCAAAGGTGATGAGAGGCCTAATGCACATGAGAACAAAGCAAGCAGTGAGTACCGCTCACTGAATTTGGAGGTATTTCAGATATGAAAAGGTTTAATATGCTGCCGTCCAATGCTGCCTATAAGAATATAACGACAAACTGTGGTCATGAGTCCAAAATTCGAAAGAGTGTAGACAATCCCCGGCAACGATATAAGAATGTCAACTGAAGCAAGCCTGATATTCATTTCCATGAGGCAACTGACTGAATCCTGTTTCGAACAATCTTGTGTGATTCGTGTGTACACGGGAATGTGAAGCATGAGAAATAGAATTCAGTGACTGTTTTGCGAGGGAAAATCATCGTTTGGATAGACGCTGGGTTGTTTAGAGAAATGTTCATCAAACTAGAAGGTATACAGACACATATATGGGCCGAGCATCAGACGACAACTGATGCATTGTCTCCAGATACTGGATTATTAATAGCTATGGCGAGGGACCCGCAGATGGCCTAAGAAGTGGCGGAAACTGCAAGTCGAGCGTCATGCTTCGGTCCCGGAATGCTGTTTATTCCAGATGATTAGGAAGCGGCTGGTAAGAGCCCAGACCAACTGACTCCTAGCGATCTCCAGGAGGAAGGAGGAGCGCGCAGGAGAAGTCTGCGAATTGTGTGATCAGGTGAACTCTTGTCTGAGGCAGGCGAAGGTGAGGGCCTTGATGTTCCAGCCGTAGCCATGCGCTCTGAACCTGGGCACGACAGTCACGGTGATGTCGGTGTCCCAGTCGGTGACGCCCAGCCTCTTCAAAGCCAAGGAAGTGCTGAAGCGAATGTTGAGAGTGCGGTACATATCGTCGTCCTCGACGTGCACCAGCTTCTGACCCAGGTCCGTCACGGTCGTCACACCGCTGGGGAGGTGAGTGAAGGTGCCCACGTAGGCCGACTCGTCCTCGTCCGTCTCGGCCGTGGCCGTGGGGGAGTCGAGGAAAACGTCGAAGCGCACATACATGAGCTCGGGCACGCGCACGTGCTCCAGCACCACGCCCTCGCTGAGCTGATTGACGTTCTGGGCCTGCGTGCCTCGGAGATCGGCCGCGGTGGGAGCCCGGCGTGTGAGCTTGAAGCTCGTGGGATGCCTTGCGATGGCGTTGCTGGTGCTGACCCTCACGTCGCTGCGTTTGTAGCTGGGCTTGGTCCCGTTGGGCTTGTGGTTTATCCACAGGCTGTCTGCTTCGACCATGGGCTGGTACGTGTAGCCCAGCTTGCGGCTGTCCAGCGTATCCTTCACCTTCACGATCACCATGTCTGCGTTCTCGTCGTAGAATGTGAACTCCGTCTCCAGGAAGTCGTAATCGTCGTAGTCCCTGCGGACCCTGTGCCCGTCAGGAGTGATCTTGTCCGGAAGAGCTTTCCAGACGTTCCACAGACGGTCGACGTTGGCGTGATGCGAGTAGAAGATCGGGTCGCGCCCTGCGTACGTGAACACGCCCATGTCCTCGTTGTCGGGATAGGCCGTGTTGTTGAGCATGCCCACCCATTCGTGAGCAGTGTTGTGCAGCGATTCGGAGCCGCCGGACTCTCCGACGGTGACGTTCACAGCCTCCGTGAAGTTGGAGCTGGTGTCGTACGGACCTCCCATGTACTCTCTGGCGCTCACCTTGTTGTACACCATCTCGTAAACCTGGCCCAGGTTGGCGTGCCTGATCTGGTCGTGAGTCCAATTTGCCCGCTCCTTCTCGAGCGATGCATCGAAGGTGAGCGGAAGAACCTTCGGGGGCATGTGGTTGGGGTTGCGGCGTTTGCCCTCGTACAGAAACGTGTTCCTGATCTTTCCATGGCGTCCGTGCTGTCGAGGCCATCTAGTGGACTGCTGGTAAGGCAGGAAAATTTGAGGAATTTGGCCCGCAGTGGCGTCCAGCTGGTTGTCCCAGTTCCAGAACGGGAGAGTGAAGTCGGGGTCGTCGATGAGACTGCCCAGAATCTTCTCGTGGAAGTAGATCAGCATCCTGTGCCATGGGAGGAAGGTCCAGCTGTAGTGCAGTTGGAGGGGATATCCTGTGGCCGAGTTATTCAGCCTTCTCTGAAGGTAAGCCTCTTTGCAGAAGGAGCAGTGAGTGTGCCATTGTCTGAGAAAGCTCCTGGGATCGTCAGCGGGCAGCGCGTTCATTCTCTCGTAAGCCAGGTTATACTTGTTCACGTACTCCACATCGTTGGCCAGCTCATGCGCAGGCCTGCGCACGCGCAGATGGTGCACGCGGGGCAATTGGAACCTTTTGGGATCTCGCCGTGGAGCCGGAAGACAGCACTGCACGCTTCTGTCTCTCTCCTCCGCTGTTGCCTCCAACCGCACGGGCTTGCAGAAGCCCACGCTCGAGGCCAGGACCGGATCCGCACTAGCCGGCTGCGCTAGATATTGCAGGACTAGGACGATCGAGCACATGAAGGAGGCCCAGAGGAGCTTACGACCTGCCGCCGTAACGCCCCTGCTTGCACTGCTTCTTCCCCAGCTTTCTTTCTGCATCGGACGTTCCCCCATCTTGACAGCTACGTTGAAATTGCAGATGATAGAGAGATTGAGAAGCCAGTCGAAGGGAAGCCGCGACTCATACAGCCATGGTACGTACCTCACCTGAACATACGATCAATTCCGAGCTATCAATTCAGACGCCCTCCACAGAAATACTTCTACTACTTGGATTTATTTCATTTCAAGCAATGGGAACCATAAAGTTTGGCAATCACTAGTAAATCACGAGGCGGCTAGAAAACTATCATTTCTTCCCACTTCAGGCTGGTGGTGAAGAATGTGCTGGAATTCTATTCGAATATGCAAACTGGAGGAAGATGTTCGCTTCAAGAGAGTTCTCTCAAAGTCCAGCTCCTCGCTGAAGAAAGAACTTCTGTCGTCCAAATTGCCGGGTTCCCCACAGACGATTGCCCCTAGTCTGAGTGAAGGGTCTGAACAGACAACAAACACATCATGGAGTACCTGGATTATGTGCGTAGAGCAGCTCGCAGCTTTCAAGTTCCTGGCTGGGGACCGAATTTCCTCAAACCCAAGAAGACATAGTTCCAACTTCTGTCCAACTTGAATGTACAGACAGTGATTGTGAAGTGCCTCGTGCGGGTACAACTCAAGACTGAGCCTGCACAATGCTCCGATGAAAGGGAAGTACGTGAATTCTCGGTATAAGTACTCAATGCGAATTATAAAATACAAAAGACAATCATCATCATGGATATGCGTTACAAATCAAAGGCGGAAGCCTTTGAATTGTAATATCTCAACTTCAAGTTCGTGTGGCCAACAACCACCGCTGTTATGGGACAAATTTCAGAAACTACTCAAACGGAAGGATTCGAGTCCCCACGTACTATTGCATCTGGGAAGGTGGTATGAGGAAAATCGCCCCTGTCTTGCACCAAAAAGGACAGCCTAGTACATAACACGAGTCTCTGTCGAGGACATTATTTGGAAGCATCTGTATCCGATAAAAGCCAAAAGAATCATCATTTGCATAGTCACTTTTCAAATTCTTCACCAACATCTCACGTCTTTTTCGTCCTGACAACATGAAAATTGCGTGTAAACATTATCTCGGAGCCTCTCACCAGCCTACTTTACCAGCCATTACAGGAGGGCTCTGTGATAGAATCTGGTGACCACGTAGGCTAAAATCAGTCCGTCATCTCTGTCAAGCGCATTTCGGAGACAGTCTACAATGAGAACGAATGTAAGACCAAAGCCAGAAACGAGACTAGGAATAGGAAAAGCTTGCTCTACTATTTTATGCAATGATAGCTTTTAATTTCAGTCGTGTCCAGCAATTTGCTTTTTTTGTGATATGATCCATTTAGTTTTGGTTTATTTCGGAATAGTGCGATAGGATTTTATGTTCTATATAATAATTATTTCTTATTTATATATTGA